CCAACCTCGTGGGTTTTCTCCGTGTCCGCCATTTTCCCTCCACTGATAAAGACCCCTACGCACAAGTGAATTATTGAAGTAAAATTGAACCATGTCAGTGGACATTAAACCCATCTCTCTCTCTCTCTCTCTCTCTCTCATAAAGTAATTATAAAACATTGTTTATTAAATAAATACTCAATAATTGTATATAATTCCACTTATTAATGTTCATAAAGTATGATTGATTGCCCTGTGATTATGGTTCAATGACCAACTTGTTAAAAACAGTTGTTTACTAAATAAATACCCAATAATTGTATAATTCCACTTATTAATGTTCATAAAGTATGATTGATTGCCCTGTGATTATGGTTCAATGACCAACTTGTTAAAAACAGTTGTTTACTGAATAAATACCCAATAAGTAAAGCAAAATAGTTGTAATACAAAGTTCTACATTTTGTTCTGATGCAGTTGTAGATCTTGTGATCGTGCTGCTAGGATACAGGGTTTTCATTCCATCTGAACAACTACACATTATCGCTTGCCAGCCACACTGGTGCAGGACGGGGGGCCTGGAAAGGGACAGCATATAGATGTTCAGATGGGATGAAAAAACGGAGGCCTGGTGTAGACGTTGGTGTGCACGTAAAAGAACCCTTGAAGTCTGGGATTAAAATTAAGTCACTGTCGTAGAAAAAATTTTCCTCATATGTCACTGTTTGGCAAATGCCCGACTTTGTTATCCCAGTAGGATGTCAAAACCCCATTTCATTTGCATTTGAGGGGTTTGATGGCTGAATGGTTAGCACGTGCGTGCTGTATCATAAAGTCTGTTATTGAGTCAACTGGCGTGGTTCGAATCCCCGGTTGTACGTGACAAGGAGTAGGGTCGCCTGTCCAACCTCGTGGGTTTTCTCCGGGTCCTCCGGTTTCCTCCCACTGCTAAAGACCCCTACGCACAAGCGAATTATGGAAATAAAATTGAACCATATGTTAGTCCGAAATGACCTAGTTTGTGTTGAGTGGACGTTAAACCCCATTTCTCTCTATCTCTCTCATTTGCATTTATAACAGATTCAAGACAGGAAATCTTCAATCGAGGATATTGATCTGTGTTGTAATGTCTGTCAAATTTTCCGATGTGTCATCAATGCATTGCAGATGTCGATGTTTGTTCCCAATGCATTGCTGCGTAAAAAAATTACTTGATTCATTACCTGTTACATCAACAAATGACGCGGTTGTGAATATTGATTGTTCAAAATACAAATCGACCTTAAAATATCGAAATTATTTAGATAGACGTACAGCGTTTCTACCAATTAACATATGAGAGAGTATACACAGCAGTTACCAGACCATGTAATATTTATAACAATAATTTTGAAATAATATGACTGAAAAAAAAAAACTTTACATAATATTGTAAAATTCAACAGCTTGACTTTTACTTCAATCACATTTTTCCGAAATTGTAGTCTTGTTACATATATTCATACACTACTAATAAAAACTGGACATTGCTAATTAAATTTGAAAAGTTATCGAGACCTCTGCATCATACATGTAGTCAGTCTAAAAATAAAATTTAGAAAAAAGATATTGCATGATAGTGTAAAAATGACTTGATCCTTTAATGTGAGTCATTGCGCGGTTTAAGTGATAGAAAAAAAAAACCCTACAAAGAAAAACGAATACAGTAATTTATTCAGGAATATTACTGACATGAATTTCAAACCGGTATGTAAATTAGATATGGAAAATTTTCCGCATGGTGTACCGATTTGTCGTTATTTTTGTGCTAATTACATACAGTAGAATACGATATTTCTCGTAACAAATTACCAAGAATTATTTTTGTTGAAGTATGATTATATTAAAGGGAATGGAAGCTTAAGATTTTAAAATCCAGTTCCTACCAGAACCTCATTTGACCCAATTCTGGCAGGTTGGTTTCAAAATGGATAAGAGAGAAATGGGGTTTAGAGCTGCAACGATTCAATTCGGTGCACCGATAACCGACACTAGCCGTCTCGGTTCGATCCACGATCTACAACGTTCAAATTTCGATTCAGTTCAATTGCAAATTAAATTTCAAATAAAAACAACGTACACCTTACCATATGAAAAAAAAATGAAAGACCTGTAGCAATTAAGTCCACTTAAAATTTAAAAAAAAACTTTGTTTTTACGTAACTTTTAATTTACGTTATTTAACAAAACACGAATGTCACTCGAAAACATAACTAAAACAGAGTGACCTTCCTTTAAAACAATTTCTGTATGCTGACGAAAGTTAATTTATTTAAAATTGGTGACGTACCGAATGTTCATTGGATGTTAATTTAGGTCAATAGCTTCGGTAATCTTTATATAAATTCTAAACTATCTCATTAGCTGATAATTCCGGTCATTATCTTCGGATATTTTCGTGTTTAGCGATTATTACCCATAGTCAAGCAAACACTGGAAGGTAAAATTATGGCAGACGATGACTTTCTCGACCACCTGGTCATTTGAAATCTAAAGTTTGGGATCATTTTGGTGTAAGAAAAAACTCTAAAGATGTGGCAACTTGTAGAGTATGCTTCACTGACATATATATAGAAAAAATTACTGGTTATTGTAGCTGATAATCGAATCGAAAATAATCGAATCGAATGGTTAAAATCGATAATCGAACCGAATCGAGGTAGTTGTGAATCGTTGCAGCCCTAATGGTGTTTAACGTCCACTCCGACACAAACTAGGTCACTTCGGGACTAACATGGTTCAATTTTATTTTCATAATTCGCTTGCACGTAGGAGTCTTTAGCAGTGGGAGGAAACCGGGGGACCTGGAGACAACCCACGAGGATTGGACAGGCAACCCTACTCCTTGTCACATACAACCAGGGAATCGAAACCACGCCTGTTGACTCAATGACAGACTTTAAGATACAGCGCGCACGTGCTAACCATTCAGCCATCCACACCTCCCCTCAAAATGGATAAAGAACCCTGCTGTACACCCATAAATAAAAATCAACTAGTCCAATCCTGATGGTTTCCAGAGCTGACCTAATTCCCCAGTACTTAATATTATTTATTCCATACTTGGGTATTATTTATACCATACTTGGGTGTATTTGTTTTATCCCTCTTGAATTGTGCTCTTTGTTATCTGAACCAAGACTGAACTGTAACTGATGTATCAGGGTTCTCTAGTATTGGCTTTCTATTGATTTTTTTGTTTGTTTCTAAATCAGTAGATATTTACAATCTTTCCATAGAGAATGGAGGTAACAATCCACTAATCTTTATTTATACAGAATTTATTAGCTAGATATAGTAATGATGAGAATATTAATGACTATTTGAGAAGGGTTGAAGATTAGGCTATAATAGCCTTTCTAATATCCTGCCCTTCCTAGAAAATATAATACAAAAGATATAGCTGTAGTAACACACCACAATAATTTACAACAGCCCCCCAAAATATATGAATCAGTTAAAAGATTAATCTGATTATGTAATGTATATGCAAGTCATGGAAGATTTGAATACATATAGATAACATGTATTAACAAATATACAATATGTACATGCTCATATAGTATGGAGATACACAGAATACATGTCATAAGAGATAAGCTTATAAAAGAGAAAACAAAAAACATTTTTAAGATAAGATATTTGAAGTAGGTTTAGGTATGGTAAAGAGGTTTTTTCCTGAAAAGATTCAAGTTATTTAAAGGTTTTTAAGAGGTTGGCAATGAATTCCAGAGTTTGGGACCTCTAACGCTTATACTGCTTTTAACTATATTAATAATATTATTTGACTTGAGAGTAGTAAGTTTATTGTTAAGATGATCATAGTTAAGGAGTTTGATTAATAAGGTAAGAGGTGAAACAAGTAATCGGGGCATTGTTTTAGCAGCATTTTATAGATAAATATACATGGATTAGGGATGTTGATTAACTATTGTAGTTCAGGGTAAACGTTGGCAGTACATTAAGATTAATTATAAGGCCATTATTTTCCGAGAAAGACTGTCAAGAGATTTAGCATCACAACGGTCCCATATTGGAGAATAATAATCTACTTGTGGTTGAATGTGAGCATTGTAGAAAAGGATTTGGAATGGTGTAAAATAGTTGTACGTCTGTACTTTATATTTAAGATAAGTCAATGTCGGTCAAACCATTGTCCTGCAGTACCGAGCTGCAGACCAAGGTATTCACTTACAGCAGGCAACCAGAGACAAATACGAGAAAGGATGAATAAGAGGTCTGACGGCCGTAATAAAAACAACGTGAAGTACTATTGTTATAAAAGACATTATTAATGTAAAGGATGCTATTAAAAGTATATCCTATGTTATAAAAAGAACTTTGGTTTATTATTCTTACCCTCTCCCGTATTACAGGCATGGTTCCCCCTTGTCAGTGATGCAGGACGTAGGGCCTGATAAGGACAGCTGTTTAGTTGTGCGGATGGGACGAAAAACCAAGGCCCTGTGTATACATTGGCGTGCATGTTAAAGAGAGGCCAAAGTACCGCTGCCTGGGCAAAATTTCCTTAATAGGACACTGTATGGCCTACATATGCCTGTCTTCATTAGCTCAGTCAGGAGCAGAACAGTAGAACGTTAAACTTATTTCATTTCATTATCTAGTTGTGAACTATTATAGTGAGAACGACCAGCTCTTTATCTAAGTCTGATATAATGTATCTTTTAAGAAAAAAAAAACCTCAACAGTAGACAATCTTTTCAGAAATTATTAGTGGCACTGGCTGGTTTTGATTCCCATCCCTTCCTCCCACTGCTAAAGACCCATATGCGCGAGCGAATTATTGAAATAAAATTGAACTATGTGTTAGTCCCGAAATGACCTTATTTTTGACGAGTGGACGTTAAACTCTCTCTCACAGAGGATCCCAGTGAGAGGTAATGGTGTAAAAACAAGTTAATTGTGTAGGCAACCTCAGTAATCAAAAGATGGTAAATTAATTCTATATTTTTGTTTTTCAGTGTCAATTCACTCCATGGTTTTAACCGGTCAGCATGTATCAACAAACTTCAAACTCGGTGTATCCAAACCCGCCACCAGCTGCCTATCCTGGCAGCATTAATGATGGGAACAGATACCAAGGGAGTTATCCACCCCAAAATTATAAAAGCAATCGGTACATGATGCGGCCAGTAAATCATGGATATCCCCAACAACAACAATTTCAAAACAATGCACGTCAACAAACAGCTCAGAATTGGAGTGGAGGAGGAGTAAATTCCCTAAATGCCCAGTACCAGCAAAGTGCGTCTCTGTATCCTGTATTTCAGGAACAGTCCTTTATTGCTCAGTATGATCATGTTAAACAGCATATTAATCCAAATCAACGAAGTATACCAAATCCGCGACAAGCTTATCCAAATCAGCAACAAAACCAGCATCTGGGTATCCCCATCCAGCAATCGAGTGTCCAAAGTCAACATTCAAGTGTCCCAAGTCAACATTCAAGTGTCCCAAGTAAACATTCAAGTGTCCCAAGCCAACATTCAAGTGTCCCAAGCCATCATTTGAGTGCCCCAAGCCAACATTCAAGTATTCCCAGCCAACCTCCAAGTAGTGCCAACCTTTATCCAAGTGTTTCTAACCTTTATCCAAGTATCCCCAACCTTCTTCCTGGTATCTCTAACCAACAATACAGCTCTTCACATTTCAAGACATTAAAGGCTGCAGCCACTACATCTCCACAAGCCTGGGACAGCCAATATCAATTAAGCGCGTTAGTAGATGGTGTTGGTCTAAATACTATCCCAAAGCAGGTAAGGAATTACCCACAGGCAATGGAACCAGAACCAGAACCACCTGCTAGTAGAAGTTGGTACCGTCTTCCAGTTGCTTCAGAACAACCATCAGTAAGAAATCCTCCACCTCCAAAACAAACTTCTCCAAACCAAACGTCTAACAGCTTGTCTCGCAGCTCGGCTTCAGATCAAGTATTTTCTGAACCACATTTACAACTACCAGTATTACGAAGACCAAAAAGGGAATCGTTAGAAAAGTCATCCAGTGATACAGCTTCAGCTTTAAAAAGGATTAAACAAGAAAAGAAACAGTCTGATAATACTATATGTAATCTTGAAAACATCCCTTTTAGTAACTCCATTTCTCCTGAAAATGTTGGACACACAAAGATGATTTTGCCAGAAAAACAACAAGTAAACTCGGTGAGTATGATGGATACCAATTCTCATCTTTCTCAAGAATTGAATGATCAAACAGCAAATTGTTTTGACAAATCTCCTGATCGAAATGTTGTCATCATATCCAGTGTGTGTTCGCAGTCCCAACAATCTTTGAGTCCTGCGGATGGAAAGACGCAAGGGACTGCCTTCCAACAATTGCAGAATAATGACTTATTATCGAATGGAAATTCAGAGGGAAATCTTTTTAGGAAACCCAAAGATAAACATCGTAAGAGGCGAAGGAGTTCTGAACGGTCAAAATCTACATCACCAGAAAAACCTCAAACAAGGATATGTGCCTCTCCTGATTCAACATTTCTACCAGATAGAATCCAGGATAAACTTACTTCACCAACGAAATCACCTTTAGAACCATATGATCCTCTATATGAACAGATCTCCATGTCTCCTTGTAGTGATACAACAATTGCATATTGTGATGGACAAGATTGGGATGATAACCCAACATCGAAAATCGATAATATTGATTCAAGCGTCAGTCACCATGTTAGTACCTTGAAGGGAATATACAATGAATGCGACGAGAGTATTAGAAAACGAAGGAGATTTTTATTGGGCTCCGGAACTGAATGTGATTCAACTAATGAACTTCTGGATGAAGCTGTAAAATCGAATAGTCTAGATCGATTGACTCCCTTGAGGCAAAATTCAGTAAGCTCTGTAACAGGCTGTGTTTCATTAAAAGATACTAATGTTCGATATTGTGTTTCGGAAAATAAAATATATTATTTGTTAAATGATTTTAGCAGATTCATCACAAAGCACAAAGAGCTTCAGGATTCTAACTATGCGGAGGTTAGATTGTCTACGGAAGCAGAATCTTTAGCCCTTTGTCAAGCCTATCATAAACTCTCACCACTATCGGAAGGTGCTAAACTTGTGAATTTTAAACAAGAACCAGAGATTTTTCAAGAACCGGGAATTGTTAATGAATTAGAAAGTAATTGTGATAAGGTTTCAAATTTAACCGAAGACAGTTTAAGTGTACATAATGACAATACGAGTGAACATAAGGATAATTCTGTGTTGTTAAATTCGTGGCTAGAAGAAACCAACAGTTGTACAGTTGAAACCAATAGTGCTTTTAGTGATAATACTTGTAATAGTAGAACTCTAAAAGGTTAGTACAATGCACAAATGGTTATTCTTTTGAATAATCCTTCATTAATACATGTAGTTGGATGGCCGAAAGGTTGGCACGTGCGTGCTGTATCATAAGGCACGTCATTGAGTCAACTGGCGTGGATTCGAATCCCCGGTTGTACGTGACGAGGAGTAGGGTCGCCTGTCGAACCTCGTGAGTTTTCTTCTAGTCCTCTGGTTTCCTCCCACTGCTAAAGATCCCTACGCGCAAAAGAATTATAGAAATAAAAAAATTAAACCATATGTTAGTCCTGAAATGACCTAGTTTTTGTCAAGTGGACGTTAAACCCCATTTTTCTCTCTCTCTGAGCAGAACAGTAGGACGTTAAACCCCATTGCATTTACAGGGTTCCCGCGGCTTGTCAAACATTTTTTCAAGGATATTCAAGGTTAAATATACGGCAAATTCAAGGACATTTTTTAGCCTAAAGTTACAATTTTTCATCTTAAAAATAACCAAAACATTACCAACTATCGTTATAAAACTTCTAATCTAAACAGGATTTTCATATCAACTTACTATTATTACCAATTTGAAACAAAATTAAGGATCTCCACTGAAATTCAAGGATATTTTCCTATTTCTGCGAAATTCAAAGATATTCAAGACCTTGAAAATGAAATTTTAAATTTAAGGATATTCAAGGATTTTCAAGGACCGCGGGAACCCTGATTTACTTCTTATGCAACCCACCCTCCTTGTCATTGATGCAGGCGCCTATAAATAAAAGACGTGTATTAATGTATTTTATCTTATAATTTAACTGTACAGAAGAATTAGAGAAGTTATCGGCCATATCTCAAGAGGTTATTAGAAGAGCCTTCACAAATCTCAAGAAGGAATGTGACCAGTTGAGAGCAGACAATAGTTCATTAAGGGAAAACCTAGATACAAAGACAAAACAAAATAATTTATTAGAAGGTAAAATCAGAAGAATAAAATCAAATAAATTGATTATATTAACAATTTCATATTTTACCCCCATAATTAAGGGTTTGTATCTATTTAAAAATCTAGGTCTTGTTGTGTAGATCCAAACTCTTTCAGTAATACACTATTGTTTGAGTTTGCGTATTCATAGTAATGAAACAGTTCTATATCTGCTTATTAAACATTGGAGGGGGGGGGGGGGGCGAATGGATAGCACGTGGTGCGTGCTGTATTATAAGGTCTGTCATTGGAGTCAACTGACGGGGTTTCAATTCCCTGGTTGTACTTGACAAGGAGTAGGGTCGCTGGTCCAACCACTACGGTTTTCCCCGGGTCTTCCAGTTTCCTCCCACTGCTAAAGACCCCTACTCGCAAGCGAATCATTGAAATAAGATTAAAACCATATGTTAGTCCCGAATTGAACCTAGTTTGTGTCGAGTGAAAACCCCATCTCTTTCTCTCTCACTCTGTTATATATTATAATTTTAAAGCATATTCTATACACACTTATCATCGCTTTGTTTAGAATAGAACCGATGTAGTAAACATCGTGGTTCACGTGAACGGTATAAGTTTCACAGTGTTGACATAAATAGAGATAAAATACTCCCACCTGCCTAATAAAACATTGACTTGGTGAAGTCTTTGTTCTGTTTAGGTTACGACATACCGGAAAAACACCAGAAAACTTCCGGAAAACACCGTTGTACTGAATACCGGAAAAACCTAACCCTAACCTCTCACACACACCCCACATACAGAGGACCAGGCTCCGGGTTACCTATTTAGTGTGTTAACCGTTATTCAGTTTTTTTCCGGAGTTTTTCGGTATTCAGTATAACATGTTGTTTTCCGGTATATAGTATTGTCAAAATTAGAGCAAGGTACAATGAGTTTCTAAGATGTTACAGTTTTTCCACATATTATTCAAGGGAATTCTTGTTCTGTGTAGATGTACAATCCGGTTCTAAATAATAGGGCCCGACAGGACGGCTAACTAGTCGTTCGGATGGGACAAAATCAGTGTTCCTTCACAACACACAGCATGGCGTATGTCAGTCTTCATTAGCCCAGTCGGTGCAGAAATGTAGGAGGCCAAGTTGTTGTTAGTTAAGTTGTATTTTACGCCCGCTTCCACCGAGGTGATATCGCAGACAAGTAGGAGGCCAAACGCTATATCTATACTAATAAGGACCCTTCCTGAAGCCAACAAGTAGTGGTAATGTGAAAATAATTCCAGGTGTTGGTCCAACCTCGTGGGTTTTCTCCAGGTAAAGACCGCTATTCGGAAGCGAATTATTGATATAAAATTGAACCAAATCTTCAGGTGTTGATAAAAGGGATCATCAGTATGATGATGTCATGATGATTCACCTGTAACAAGAATCTCAACAATTTAATCCCTGTAACAACGATACTAACCTAACTCACTGTTGACAAGAACATGGTTATGTCAGGCGGTTTATTAATAATAAAAGTCTGGCTGAATTTATTAAAACTGAACGTGTCTCTGATATTATTACCGTAAACTGTTTGTGTACGTCCGTCTTCATTAACCCAGTCGGTGTAGATATGTTGAACCCTATATTTCATTTCAAATATGCTTTTCAGACGAACATGCTATATAATTTTTAGATGACCAGCGTGACTGTTAATTACGTACTCGTGTATCATGTTTGAAACCGCAAATTTCCACAAATTAATGAGCATGGTTTTGTGATGGCTGAGGTCGGCAATTTTAAGCAAATCGGTTCAAATAACCAAGAAAGGACTTCTTCAGGAACTAAAGATAACAATTGTCGTCTTTAAACCAAAACCCAAGCTCATTACAACCGTTTTGAGAAGGTTTCTTAATTTATCGGAACAGATTTATTGTGTCCCCCTTGGGTCGACTTAAAATTTCGGGATTTTTTGTGGAAATGTGCCGTTTCAAGTAGGATACATGTACGCGTGGGTAATTAACTATAACCCAAACTATGGCAACAGTTTCGTTGGTTTCACTTGTCAAGCGTGATAACGCAACAAACTGCTTTTGAAAATCTTAATTGTTCAATTCACCTTACTGCACTAGCACCCTCAATTAGAGATTGACATTAATTTTAAAGCGGCATTTAAACATGCCACTAAAAGCAAAAAGAGCACGTACATTAATTAATGTTTCAAATCAATAATTAACCACGTGTTTGTAACACTGTTAGTGATAACAGAAGATCAGTTTATTTACATCGGGAACAGAACATAAAACGGCTATATAAATACAACATAGACAAGAATATAAACACGGTACACCACTACTTTTAAGACATCAGGAACATAAACTATAACATCAACACCGCACATCACATCATTACAACTATTCTGCCACGGCAGCGGCTGAACTCGGGCCCATACGCTCATCCCTGGTCCCCTCGGGGTCTTAACTTCGTACAGCTGACCGTGCGAATTCAATATAAAAAAAGAGCATTGTTACTACACCTGAAAAATATTAGGTCCGTAATTAAATACATGTACATATATATGTAGTAGACAGTTTAAATTATATCGTTGAGCCGTAACGTGGGTTTGAATGGGTTCGCACTGTTGGGTTTCAAATTAGTTTGAAGCATCTGAATAAATCTATTACATGTATAAAATATAGTGTTAATAGAAGTCATGGAGCACTTTGTCACATTGTCACATGATATGTTATTGATATCTATCTACCACGTGTTTTATACAATGTTTCTATTTAAACAAGGTTGAAATGGTATTAATGTTGACCTGCGGTTGGTAGTAAAGATATGGGAACATATTCAATTTCATGTAAAAATAACAATGTAAAGCGCTTAGTATTCTTTCTCAACCTACTTTGATAGGGTTGACCGACCTGGCCAATATAGACTCGTATATTCAACACAAATATGGTGATAACACAGGGTCGTAACTAGCTCAGAGCAATGAAGCGGGGGGGGGGGGGTTCTCGGGGGTGCTGTGAAATTGGCGGACAGTGTATTTCTATTGTTTTTATGGTCGACAATCTTTTCACCCGGGGTTTACTATGTTACTAAATTTCATTGTAACAATTCCTTATTTAATAGTAAGTGGAGGGGGGGGGCGCACCACACGCACACAATTCCACAAGACAAATCCACTGACAGTTCAGAATATACACACATCGTAAACAACCAATTCACAAGATCTGGGGGGAATGACTGGACAACCTGCTCTAATACGTCAGACTCACTTCTACGTCACTCCTTTTCTGACTTGCAAATCAAAGCCCTATATCTACGGCTTTGTTGAGAATGTAATATAATACGTCATGGGAAGTTTTATTTACTATAATAGACGAGAAATATAACCAATGTAGGCTTTAAGATACCAATACCATGTTCGTCTAAAACTGAAATGTACTATGGACAGTCGATCAAGTATCAAATGATAAAAATGACACCGTCTAATATTTACAAAGATAATTGAAATTGAAGATACGGTGTCTTGTTACGCTCGAGCACCATAGATCCATGAAATTTCAATTTACTTTATCTTTGTAAACATTGAACGGAATTGAACTACTTATAGACTGATATTTCAATTAGAGATTCAATTTTCATAGTATTGTATTGTGCAAGCGATGCCTATAACGCCGAAGGGCGCACCACAGGGACTTTTAAAATTCATATTTGTCTTGGGTCTGAAAGATTGTGTATGGTCTGAAACTGAAAGTCTATATTTACATTTTACCTTGGAATATTGTGTATGATATGAAACTGAAAGTCTGAAATGTTGTGTATGGTCTAAAACTGAAAGTTTGTATTTACATTTTACCTTGAAATATTGTGTATGATATGAAACTGAAAGTCTGGAATATTGTGTATGATATGAAACTGAAAGTCTGGAATATGGTGTATGGTCTGAAACTAAAAGTTTGTATTTACCTTTAGTCTGGAATATTGTGTATCATATGAAAGTCTATATTACCCATAATCTGGAATATTGCGTATGATATGAAAGTCTATATTTACATTTTTAATCTGAAACATTGTGCATTTAAATTATATTTTAATTTCTTTCAGATATGTTAGAGAAAGTATCAACGTTGATGTAAAACAAAACAGAGCCTTGACATGAAGATTTCTCCGAATTATTAATTGTTGAGTTTCCATGGAAACAAATTTGAATTACATTTAGTTTTTGAGGCGTATTAAAATCAGTAAAACACAGCAATCACAATTCTGTTGCATAATAAAAAAAAGATTTAAATACAGATTCGACGCCATCCTTCCATATTGGCATTGTGTTATTTAAGATCAGATATTTAAGATAAATGTACGAATCTTGTCCTTTATGTGAAACATACTTACTTTTCATATTGTCGTTTCTAACTTAAAATGAAATTGGAAATATATAGATCAAATAATACAGTAAGAAACGCACAGCCCATTTTTCATTTTTTTAAAATTTGAACAGGATCGTTGTTGCCATAAATCTTACATGTTTTTAATGTCAGTATGTAAGGATAAAATAAATTCATTATTTGTTTTAAATGTAGGGTCACTAATTGTGACTGGTCATACTTTTTGCCGATATTTGTTTTCGCTTGTTTTCGCTTGATTGCACCAAAACATTTGAGTCGCAAGCTTTTCGCATGAAACCCAAATCTAAGGCCTTTAAAATTCCGGGATTCTCGGTTTCAAAGTCAGTTGCACATGTAAACACCCAATATCACTATGCGTTTCTTTTTTTGAAGAGTATATATATATGTATCCTTAACAGATTTCTGTAGTATTATTTATTTAACTGGTTTTATTTACATCGAATGCTGGTTTTACCAAATGCACAAAATCTAGACAAACGTTGGTTTTTTTTAATGTATCAAAAACCATTTATCTAACGGTTACCCGGTCTGAAAATGCTGTAAACGCATGTACAATATTGTTAAAACCCGAGGTTTGTTGCTAACAAATTTTTTCGAAAATTGTTAGCCGTTTAGTCTTCCAAAATTTGATGCTTTTTATAGATATATTTAATAATGGGCCAATGTTTGGAAAAATTTTTGTTAAAGTTTATTTATAAGTAAGTATTTTATTACCTTATTTGGAAATGTTTGTTGAAGTTTATTTATAATTCGTATTTTATGATCGTACATGTACCAGGTGCAGGTACAATAGGTCGTTACCTCCTCGATATTTGGATACAAAGAAAATTGCATTAGCCAGAAGAATCAGAAGTGCTTCCCCGTGGTCATAAACAATGACAGGGTTATATAACTCAATTAACACACCAGGTTTGACAATGAATAAGTCAGTTGTGTAAATTTTGTATGAAAACAAAAGATCTTTTGTTAACGATCAAAGAGTTAAAACAAAGTGGTGTATATTATCTGTGTTGACCAACGAATTAACTCATCGCCATCTTACTTGGTTTAAAATAAAATGAAATGGGGTTTAACGTCCCACTGTTCTGCTCCGACTGGGATAAGGAAGACGGACATACGCCATACAGTGTGCTATGAGGGGAATGTTGCCAGGCTTACTTGGTTTATAAGACTTGCTATATCATCTGTTGATAAATTGTGTTCACCCTCTTGGACATAATTGAGATTTAGATAGGTTATCTCACCCGATCAAAGAGTATTCGTCCATCACCCTTTTGTTGACTTCTTCTGTTTGCTTTTGAATATAATTGGTATATTTTGATCTATTAGCACCCCCCCCCCTCCCTAAACCCATAATACAATGTTTAACTGAAATGTAACAAAGATAGTCAGCTATGTGGAATTCTCAAATGCAGTAATGAGTGATATCCTATATTTGTTTTTGATGGTAGATAAACATAAATGGTTGATCGTTCAAAGCATAAACTAAATCCAAACTGCCAAATACGATATTATTGTTAAGTTTTATTTTACATTATTTTTTGTACATTTTGCAATAAAAATGTTAAATTCTTCGCGCGTTTTTCGTTTATTTATTTGGGATGTTTTGCTTGGGAACAAATCAACAGACCATGACGGAAACCTAAGCTGGGAATCACAAAATTCTGTTGACACATAAAACAGTCAATATTTCAGGCAAAAGAAATTCGGCAAGAATGTCTTCTTTTTAAAGCCAATAGATGCCAGGACGAAATTTTGAATATGCGGTACCAACAAGTCTTAACATTCGGCAAGAATGCCTTTTAAAGCCAATGAATGCCAGGACGAAATTTGAATATGTGGTACCAACAAGTCTTAACATTATCAGCGTTGTAAATATTTACACCAGGAATATGATTTGTATTCATGCCAGTTACAAGAAACAAACTAATTCTAAGTATCATAAACGGCTGTGTAATTCGAGACACGGCGGCTAAGTCTATCTTTATTGACACCTGAGCATCTGTCATCTCTTAACGATCCTTCATACATTCGCTTAATTAAGCTAAATGACGTTTGAAATACAAATAGTATCATATTTTGTAATGTTATCAGTGAAATACAACCTTTAATGACACATGTTTCTTTCACCAAGCTGAATAATGTTCGAAATCATATCATATTTTATAAAATCATTAACTCGAGTTACCGTGTGCAACAGAACCTTTAATGACACACCAGCGTCCAATACAACCTTTAATGATAATGTACCCGGTACTAGAATCGGTTCAGAGTGTAATCACTTGAGGTAAATTCAGAATCTAAACTCAACCGTGTGAGCATGCAGATCCATTAAATACAACTCGACGTAGTTAATAAACGCACCAACGATAGTAATTATATAAATTTAATTAAACACATGATATGTTTGTCTTAATTAAACACATGGCCACCGATAGAGGTAAAGTGTCCAGTGTCTTGTATAATCTGAATTGTAAACGCCGAATGACATGTACAATAATATAAACCGTGATGCTGTTTAATGAAAGCATTGTCGTCTAAAGCTTTAATTATGTCGTCTAAAGATATAATTATGCAATCTCCTATAATTGCTATATACCGCTTGATACATTTGTCATACAAGTGTCCTCGAGCCAAATGCATAGTGTTTAACATCCTTCACTTGATCGTAATCAGCGACTATTTGTTGTAGTTGTGTGAAATTTTATATAGAATTTGCATACATTTTTAATGCAGTAAAATTTAAATTGCGTGTTTTATTTTAAAATGAAAGTAAATGTATGGTGAATTAACTTATTGATAACTCAACGGTGATGTTGATAGATAACATTTAACGTTGTCATAGAAGAATTTTGACGTATTAAAGAGATATCAGAACAGTACTTTATTGCATGTTATTTTAGTATAATTAAAATAATGATATTATTTAATGTCTGGCAATCAACCATTACATCCCACTTCTACTCGTTGCCACTGGCAACCTTTGATAAAACTGTCCTGTTTATTCTCAATACATGCTTAAAAGTATCCGTGTATCAGAAATGTACAAAAAGAGTACTGTTCATTTCTGATACACGGATACTTTTATACCGTTTTAGATATCTATCAAGCAATAAGTAGCGGACGTTTAGTCCGACCCAGATCGCACCATGACCAACTCTTCATGCCATCGCATGGTTCCTTTTTGGACCCCTCGACCAAAACTGTCCTGATATTCACCGATACACCTCGGAAAGTGTGCTAATAACTACTACTTAAACCATACTTAATGGTAATGTGCAGAATTTTTAAACAAGACATTAACTGGATGCAATATTTTTTACACATTTAAGTTTCAGGAGGGAAGTGTATACAAATTGGCTGATACAATATACACAGGGTAAATGACTTAAAGACAGGCGTAGGCCTCTCAAATTATACACAAACGCTTCACAATGGGATGAAGACTCACAATTAAAACAAAATTTACTCCATTTTCTAGGTAAGAAACTGTAAACATATCTCGAGGCGGTTTAGTGTTTGCTCAACAAACCATAAAGACAACAGCTACACTCTATCATGTCTGAGAACGGTTCTCGGTGAGGATTACTGCGCATGCGCTGAATTAACCTTTAACATTTTCCCGCGAGCTTGGACAGTTCTGTCAAAATGGCTGCCCTAACTAAATCAACCGTCATAATTGTTTTCATCCAGGTATTTTGCATAGGATCTAATGTTTGGTATTCGCTCAAAATAAAGTAATTCATTTTGCATTATCTATTTTTAAGATATCAAAGCGAAAACGTCCAGCTCTTTATCTAAATCTCCAACAACACACTTCCAGGGGCGGATCCAGGAATTTTTGCAGGAGGGGGTTTGCCATGTTCCTGAGACAATGTATCTCCCAACCCCCCTCCCGCATGGTCTCTATCGTCATTTTGGCGTATATACATACACATTGAGCTTTTTAAACAGAGAAATTCAATACCTCGTTTGACGTCAATTTTTATTATGAATTAAGACAATGACATTGTGATTCAATTTTATTGATGCAAAGCATTAATTGTGATATCACATAATGTCTATATCATTATCTCGTGCTTTGAGTGCCCATCCTGTCCCAAATTTGACGATAAAGGATAAAGTACACGGCCGAGAAACCTTTCTCATAAAAAGTGTTGATTTACAACGCCCCCCCCCCCCCTGGATCCGCCCCTGACTTCAGTTGACACATATACACCCTGACATACATTTTCCTCTTTTTAAAGAAAGTTCATGTTTATTCCATTGCACTACAGCCCCAAAAACAAATAAAACAGTGTATAACCCACTGTATCTACAAATGAAATGGGGTTTAACGCCCTACTGTTCTGCTCCGGTTGGGCTAATGAAGACAGACACTGTATCTACAATCGGTAGCGATGTCTAACCCGACAAATGGTCGATCGGTTAAATATGATTTATAGCACCTAAACATAACTGTCACAACTGTTTTCGCTTTATGAAAATCATTGATTATATATTTATAATAGTTTTAATATCACACGAAGCCCTGTGGACATTGTCATGTATGAAATCCTTGGTATTAAAGCAGGTAGACTACAGTGACAAAATAGTCCTTCCCTTGTGGGAAGCATCAATCACTTAGTAAACACATTATACACATCGAGGGGATCGCCAGCCGGCACGATTGATTGAACATCATAATAAATGTATAGGGGTATGTCCAGGAATTGTCTGCGGTATCGCCAATCTGATTAAAACACTTCCTATTTTGCTTCGCTCTTTATGTGATAAGCCCACATGGAAATGTGGTCGTATATTGTCGTCGCCCCCGCCAGTACGCCCACCCGTCGTCCACAATTTCTTGTGGACACTGACATCTTTGACACAGAGCGGGATTAATTAAATATCCTTATCATATCAGCTGTCACTCATGACATATAGATGGTCGACCTGTGTTATGCAATGTCCATTGTCTTGTAAAGTAATTTGTACAGAAAACTTAATCTGGCATTAAGTAACAACCCAGCTGTGTAATTATCTTGGCATCTGACAAGGGACCAATGGTTTAAAGAAATGAAATGAAATGAAATGGGGTTTAACGTCCTACTGTTCTGCTCCTAACCTGGGCTAATGAAGACGGGCATACGCCATACAGTGTGCTATGAGGGAAATTTTGCCCGGACAGCGGCACTACGGCCTACTCTTATATCGAATTCCAACTGCCAAGGGATCTTTTACGTGCACGCCAATGTGTACACGGGACCTCGGTTTTTCGTCCCATCCGAACGACTAGACAGCTTTCCTTGTCAGCCCCTCCGTCCTGCATCACTGACAAGGGAGAACCACGCCGGAAAATCTGGATGAACTTTCTCGGCCAATCAATGGTTTAAAGAAGGGATCAGGAAGATAGTTAGAAGTTAAGTTGGGACCAGGTAACAAGTTAAGACCAGAGCTCCGACAACATGAGTTAAGCCGCATTTCCTTTAGTAGGAGTGTTTCCTTATGTGCGGGTGCGGATACGGTTCTGTATGCGGCGTCCGGTACGGTTTTTCGAAACGGACCATGTAGCGTTCGGTACGGAAACGCATGCGGAACCGTGTCCGTAAACGCACATAAGGAAACACAGTTTCTATGCTGCAGCCAATATTAACAATGTTTTTTCTTCCTTTACGAACCATGCCAATGCCGGTGCCATGTTGAAAAGAGGGCCCTTCCGTTTAAATAACCGCATATAAGGATACACAACCTGCCGTGTGCTATGTCTACTCCCGGACCGGAGCCGGACCGGATCCGTACTAAAGGAAATGCAGCTTAAGTTGGGAATATTGTAAGCCACCCCAAGCACCCTGTCAATGCCGGTTGGTTTACGGGATTCCTCATTTTGTCAGGCCGATTTAATAAAGTCGTAACACATTCAAATCTCGTTGTTTCCCCCTCCCATTTCATTTCAGCTTCAACCTCTGTGTTCCCCAGGGAGCCACACTTCGAACTCTCTAGTGCTCCTCCTCGTATGAACATATTACAACAATACAAGTTTGTAGGTTTTCTGCTCCAATTACGGAATGACTTTTAATAAATCTCGATTCATTAAAACATTATCAATATAACAACGTAATTGAAAATAAGAGAAAATCTATAAAAATAGTGAAATGGCGTCCGGCGTGGTGGGAGATAACGTCTTACATTGTCCCTAAGGGTCTTCCATACTAGCGCAACGCGCAGCGACAAACGAACGGTACCCAGTAAAGATACGACAGTCCAAGATCGTCATAGCCTACATACTGATCTATGAAATTACTAATTATATATAGAGGATATTTGTCGTTTTAGAGTAAATAACATATTTTATTGCATCGAGAAGCAAGAAAACTTATATTTTCACGAATGCGTAGCATGAGTGAAAATATAAACGTTTTCTTGCTTAGAGATGAAATAAAATATGTTATTCACGACAAAAAGACAAATGTTCTATTTATTTTATGATTTTACAATCATTTTAGGTAAAAACAACATGGACTACTGCTAGCCAGTGGAATAACACTTTTATTTCACTGATAAAACGCGGTATTCCACTACTGATCATAAAATAAATATTATTATTATTATCAACTTGTTAGGAACCTGTTACCTCACCTTCAGGTTCAGAGTAAATCGCTATTTAAACAGAATAGATTATGAAAATTGCTTTCAACTTCTTAAGACTGCTTACGGAGACAAGTCTTTCGCGTAAGACGCTGAAACGTTATCTGCCATACTGCCGTTCGTTCGTTTCTGGGGTTTTACGTCCACTTCCTCCCCCCATACTGCCGTTGCGAGGCTCTATTTATAAGCCTTACCAGAGTGTCACGTGAACGTCGTGACCAATAATTACTTGCCCTTTTTAAGGCCTGTTCGCAGCAATATTTTAATTTGTACATAAAACATTATTCCCCCACTATTAACTTGCCCTTCTGTTGCCCTTTTACATTATTTACTATTATGTACATTTTGCGACCAAGCATATGAAATTCGAACAAGTATTAAACAAATTATGAAACAAATAAAAACATCAACAAAAATGCACAACAACGCGTCATGCGGAACAATCGCTAAGTGACGTGGTGCAATATAGTCCCTATGCCAATCCGGCCAATCCGTATCTCAAGTTATATAAAATTACGTATTAGAAAAATACGATGTACAATGATTTATCAAGTTATTCCTAACACATCAATTAATTAAATAAGCATCTTAGCCACATGAACTATAATCATGGTTCATGAATACGATATGTTGACACTTCTACGAGCAAATACACCAAACTTCGCCATTGTTCGGCTGAACAAAATGTTCTGCGCATGTCCATCCAGTGAAGCGATTAATATGACCTTGACCGTTTCTTGTCTCCTTATATGTATAACAAAACATTTTGCGCATGTCCGTTGGTGGAAACTCACGTTTGATCCTTTCTAGCGGGAATTTTAAATTCTGATGCTTGAAATATTTCTTAGTGCTTGAAAAGTTAAATTTATTATATTATAATGGTTTTCCGTGAGCTTATTTCGTACCAGGCTGGGAGTGAAGGTATTGTACCACAAACTGTTTTATTAACACCCTTGTCTAGATTCAATTTGACCATTAAAAGGCCTATTTAGGAATAGGATTAGGATCTAGGCCTTAAGGCTTAAGACTTAAGTGAAAGTCCTTAAGAAAACGTTGGCCTAACACTACACACAGTGTAAGTGTTAGTGTCGCCTTTGTTTATCTACTTCAGGCCTATGCCTACCTACCCCACTGGCCACTCACTCTGTGTTAGATTTGTTTAATAAAGGCGATATAATAATAATTATTATATATTTAATATTTATACTTATTACTTTTTCCCAGAGAACTTTCCCGAATCTTTCTAGAAATCTAAGTTCTAACAACACCAAAGCAAAGCGCATACATACATAGGCCTACATTACAACAAATAAATAGGCCTATTTAGATAGATGTTCAAGGCGAAAGGGCGAAAATAATCCTGTAAACAAGCAATCAAATAAAATTTGCTCGGTATTTTTCCGAATCCTTGTGTAGATTTAATCGTCAGGCCTGAATTCAGAAATAGGAATTGCCGAACACTAAAATTTGAATTCCGAAGTACTAGGCCTAGTACTAGTTACAACTACAACGGCTACACTACCTACCCCAGTCACTGAATCACTAAGCGTGGAACTGGTCTACTCCAAGCGATATATTTATATTTATATATTATATCCATAATGTTCTGACCTTTTACTCAAACACTTTCCCGAACCCAACCCCAGAGCGCATACAATACAAGTAAAATAGCTATTTTCCGTGTCAAAAGGTTAGCCGGCTAGGCCTAGGCCTAATTTAAACAAGCCAACAGTGAGGCTGATGTCCCCCGCCGAAATAGGAAAATAATTAGAGGACACATATAAAAATCAAATTGCGTATCGCTCTGCTTACCCTGAGCAGAAAATGCTCATTATCAAACTTAGTCAAGGTATTACTGTAATGAAACTATACACCAAGTTTCATCAATCTCACTTAATTAGAACTAAAGTTATCGTGTCCCAAAGCATCAACCAATCAAATTGCTTATCTCTGCTTACCCTAAGCGGAAAATGCTCATCTTCGAACTCCATCAAGGCATTGACCTAATCAACACATACACCAAGTTTGAACATTCTAGCCCAATTAGGAAGAGAGTTATCGTGTCCCAAAGCATCAACCAATCAAATTGCTTATCTCTGCTTACCCTAAGCGGAAAATGCTCATCTTCGAACTCCATCAAGGCATTGACCTAATAAACACATACACCAAGTTTGGACATTCTAGCTCAATTAGGAAGAGAGTTATTGTGTCCCAAAAAGTGTGACGGACAGACAGACGGACGGACAGACAGACGGACGAACCCATTTTAATAGTCCCCTGCTTTCTTCGAAAGGCGGGGGACAATTAATCCTACAAGTACAAGCAGGGCCGGATTAACCATGGGGCATATGCCCCAGCCCCCCCCACCCCCACTAGAGGACCCCCCACAAAAATCTCAGTTGCGTCCAGCCCCCTCCTCTAAAAATGATATCATTTCATAACACTCGCATGGATTGGTCCACGGAAATAACGCCAGAATGCGCTAATTTCGTGGCAGAATTTTATTTTTTTCTTGGGGGAGGTACTTCTAAATGGCTCCACATAAGTGCCTGAAATGCCAGGAAATCACGTTTCCGGCCTCAAATTTCTGAAAATTCCCCCCCACCCCCTTGCGGGGCTTCGCGCCTTCGACACTCTCGGTGTCGCCGGCTACAGCTCCGCGGTCGGTGATCAGGGCCCCCCATGGTTAATCCGGCGCTGAGTACAAGTATTGAAGTAACAGGATCCTGGCAAACCCCCTGTGACTATCAGGCGTGACAAGTCAGAATACGATACCGATAGATATATGGCACCTTAATGAGTGAGTTAGGCCTAATAACATCCCATACCGGTATGCCAATTCCCATTTCTACACACTACTGAGTCCTAAACCTATTCTAAGTAAAAATAAAAAAGGACAACGCCCCAAAAAAATCTCTGGGAACTTTATCGGCCACCCGCTACTTCGTACTTGTTTCTATTTTTGAATACCGATCGGCTTTTTTTAGGGACTGTATAATATGGGTGTCATCATCAACATAATATCAGAAATATAAATATTAACATAGATTCTTGCAGACGTTTATTCAAATTATTACACAACTTACAATTTCCAATTATATCAAAATCTGTATTATCAAAATCTGTAATATCAAAATCTGTAGATGGTCTATTTCGATAGGATCGCAAATAAGTCGTTTTAATTTCTGATTATAATTAGGTTCTTTCAGTAAATCTATGTTGTAACTTGTACTCAATTTGTTCATAATGACAATTACAGGTTTTAAGTCTAAACAGGGCTTTCAGGCCGGTTTCTACCAAACGACCGTGGATTCTGGTGCTGTGCATGTAAGTAGTTGATGATGCATTGTACAGATTATATTTATATTATACTTGGAGAATTTTTAAAAGAACTGGGGTTTAACGTCAGGTCCAGCATGACCATGCAGATGCAGTGTGCTATGAGAGAAATTTTGTCTGGACTTGTTTTATTTCGAAGTCAAACTGAAAACAATGCTGCACATTTTATGACAGTTTTGATATATTTTTTCTGGGCAAATTTAATTGAGATTTATGAAACTGTAAATTCCATTTTCAAGAAAAAACAGTTTGCAAGGCCAAATGATAAGCCATCCAAATATGGTAGAAATTCTTTGTGCCTAGTACCAAGTTACTTTTATTATTTATGTCAACCGGTTAACATATTCTTGTCTATCTGTGACCGGATATGCAGATTTATGAACTGATAATATTTTTGTCCATCCCTGAAAGAAAAGAAATACAACCATGTGATTAGTACATGTTCTGAGTAATTTCAAATAATACATCTATGCTTTTCATTATACATGTATATTTATTTTTTCTTCGAAGGACTTTTCAATTATTGGAAATTCCCACGTGAGAATCCTCACCCGCTCTTTGAACTCAAGCTTGGCAAACCTCAATGGCTGTGTTACCTCCGTCCCGGGCGGCTACGTAACACATGCCATTGAAGCTGTCCAAACACTGAGAAAGGTAAGTTTTAAAGTCTTCTTTTGGTTAAAATCAAGTCAATCGTAATAAATGCGAAGATCTCTAAACTGAGTGAATAAATGGATTGTATATGTATAAATAAAACAATTCATTAGAGTTCCTATTACTCAGTAATAACCAACCTGGTAATTGAAGACCTTTTTGAAATCATTTCCATTATTTTGAACCTTCTCTAAAGTTATGTTTTACAAAATCTCCAGACTGTAATAAAAGAAATGCACATACAGTTCAGATATAATATTTAAAAATGTATCATTACAGGCCAAGGTTGGTATCATTTTTTCCCTAGGGAACGATATGCGGCGCGATAAAGGTGATTATCCAAGTTTTAATTTTTAGTTACATTCTAAAAATATATTACCGTAGTAATGACACTAAATATTACTATTGTTATTTTCAATTGATGGAGTGTTATGAAGGAGACTGGGGTGGGTTATTTACAATATTCAATGCAATAGGCTGTAACCTTTTGGGTATGTGATTTTTCAAATTTACAATGCATGAAAATGTTATCTCTAAAACTGCAATGTAATTATTTTCAGTTCCTAAAGAAGGCCTGTTAAGGCGTTTAATAAAAGAGTGTAAAAAACGGTTTGAATACATTGTAAGTATACAGTGCTATGTTTCTTGTTCCTTGGCTTTGTCGGCCTAATCACTGGGATGAAAAACAAATTATTATTGAATATCCTTAATTTGTATTGAAATTTTTTGAGGTTCAAAGCTAATGCCAATTGTTTACTGTATGATACTTTAACATAACTGTCAAGTGTCTTTATTTCAGTTTATATGTGCTCCTTTGCCGGACAAAAAAACCAGTTCAACTGTATATAAAGCCTACTGTCAAATAATAAAAAAAAATTGTGAAGACCTGGAAGTGAACTTCATCTCTGTAGAGGAGTTCATTTACAAACCCCTATACAGAGATGACGTACACTTCACAGATGCAACTTACAGGGTATTTTTCAGAAATCTATGTACGTAAAACTTATATTAAACGTTCAACATAATTTTATATACTTTCATAAAATATTAGATATCTTTTTAGCCAACCATTATTATATGTTTCTGTTTTAAATTATATGATCGAGATTCATTGAATATATACTCATAAAAAAATTAAAGATATCACCGGCAGTTGTCTTCGCCGGCAATTGTCCTACTCCCGGTAACAATGGTAATTTGACTGAAATTTTCAGTATTTTCTCTTTACATTATCAATTTTTCAACTATTATAACGATAACTGTCAGCTCTTTAAATAATCTTCCCGCTTTAATGTCTAATTTATAGCTTTTGACAATGTTTTTTTTCAGTAAGCAACATACTGGAATCTGTGGAAGGTAATCAATTGTTTTACAAATCATAACAAATTTTAATGTGATATTGTCTTGAAGTAAATACATAACAAATCAGGGAGGTAGAAAAAAGGTGGTAGAAGTTTCTTCATAAATTAATACATGTGTATTTCAGATATTATCTGGCTCTCCCTGATACTGCTTCACTCATTCTCTAAGTGGTATACTATTCAACCATTTCATAAGACCACGCAACAAACAGGACTTCAAAGGATGAGACAATCAGAGTTTCTTACTGGAGTCTTTCGTGTTGGGGCAAACCGGAGTACCCGGAGTAAAGCCATAAAGCGCATGACTAGACCACTAGGGCATCCTAACCCTTCTACTATTCCCAACAACAAAATTTAACTTACAATTATTATATTTCAGACACAGAATATGATGATCCACTTGTAAGAAATGTTGTACATAGAGAGTGTCCAGTGGCTGTTGTGTAAGACATTATGATTTATTAAACCCACACATGAGCATATCCATCCTAAAAGCTAAAACATCCAAAAAGTATTACATGTATAGTTATAAAAATAGATAAAGTAAAAAGACAACACAGATCTCTAAATAAAAATAAAAACAATTTTTGCAACTTGATGCAGTCTCTACAAGCAAAAACAAAATATAATAATGCAACATATTGATGCTTCAGGTCTGGAATTATCAAAAATCACCAACCGGTCAAGGATGGACTATTTGAAAGTAAGTTCAGTTATATCATAATTCAATAATTTGTATTATGGTAAATTATTGAATTATAAATAATAAAACTATCATGTCATTGTAATGTTCTGTGTATTTTATTGATATAACAGTATGTGTAATAAAGGTCATGAAACAGATTAGCAATACTTGGAAGGTGATCATATGTTGTTTTTTCATTTATAGCTGAACCCATTGCAAGTCCTTGTCCTCCAAAAGATCTACATCTACAAGGAAATTTGAAAAAGTTTCGTGGTGGTGAGTAGTTTATTTAATCTTATGAACTTTGGGGTGAATTTAGTTATATTTCAATTCAAATCCCACAAAATCAAACTAAAACAGTAATAATGTGAGTCTTAAGATGATAAAAACATTACAGAACAATAATGCTCTTTTTTTCATAACACAACAGATAATGATGTTGGTGTAGGCCACATACAGAGTTCCAGTGGGAGAAGTGGAGATTTTAATTGGTAAGTTATCTTTTAACATAAGTTTAATACATATCAGTTTATAAGGAAAACAAATATATTTGAATATCGGATTCCCACGATAAGTACAATGTATAGTAAAACGTAAATCAAAATGATAAAAATTTAATTTGTCATGACAATAATGAAGAATTTTGAATGATTTAACTTTAAAATGGCTGTAAATTTTTCAGGCATAATGTATCTGGTACCTTTAAAGGTACATTTATTCCTGATGATGAGGTGATAATTACATCAGACAATACATCTAATAGGTTGGTAGCCAAATATTTGTATAACTATTCAAATTTTGTCATTTTATCTTTTACCTCAGAATAGAAATCTTTCAAGAGAACATTGGTATATCTGGATTCTTGATTTATGCATGTTTTTTTTTTTGTCTTAAGTGTAGGAACTATATATTCTGTGGACAGAAAACAACGTAAGACAAGAAGAAAATTTATATTCTCCAGTGAACTAATTGAGGATACCATTAGGTTAGAACGCTTATGTTACTTATTACTTTTACAGATGTTTTATATCGTTTTTTTCGGTATTTATGATTGAAAGTATATAAATTTTCAGTAACAACTGCTATGTAAATCACAGCATATTAAAAAGAAGATGTTTTACCCAGTGTTTATTTCAACAGTATAACTTTATTTCAATAAGTATAAAAATTTAATATCTCACATGATTTTTGGGTGAGAAACATCTAATATCCTGTATTGCACGATACTTTGTGGTTTATTATTTTCTTTTTCATGACCAATGTGATCAAGATTAGGTAATGGTACTCATATGCATGAGAATGCAAACAAACTTCACTGCAAAAAAGTTTGTTAAATCAACACCACAAACACTTCCTACTTTTGGCTTTTCTAGCACTGCGCACAGTTATTTTAGTGTAAAGCAAGAAATTAATGCGAGCCAAAAATTAATGCATAAAATGTGACCTTCCACCAATCTATTAATCTCAATACACATTCCTATTCTGGGATCCAACAAAATAAAGTATGCTGTTGAAACAGTGAATCAGCAAAGTGATCAAAAGTAAAAGTCATAGTTGCTGGCATTAACTGTGTAATTAACTGATACGTAATTTATTGTTTTATTAGAATACAGGTCACATTAAATATTTATGTCCATCTCCTTCAAGTCGCATTAATTTTTTGTTTTATAGTAGTATGCTTTATTTAAACTCTGTTGCCAGGTGTGCAACAAATAGCATTAGAATATACTTTAGTTTAGTTTTAACATTATGTTGCCAGGTGTGCAACAAATAACATTAAATGTACTTTATTTTATTTTTAACATTATGTTGCAAGGTGTGCAACAAATACTATTAGATGTGCCTTATTTTAACTCAACTTCTTTAGTTTATGTACAATATACAGATTTTAAAAGTACCCATAGTCGACATAGTACCCATAGAAATGGGTCCACAAAACCATTATTTCAAAACCATAAGTGGACTATTCATTTTCTTACCCAACTAATTGTTTATGTCCTATATAAAAAATAAAAAGACCCTTAAGTCTACATAACTTTTAATTACTCATAGAAAAGCTTTATTTCAAAACTATTAATTTTCTCACAGAAATACAAAGACAGCATTACCTATTTATAATTACTGTAATAAAATAATCATTGAATTTTTTTTTTATTCTTTTGTCAGGTTTACTGGAGGAGGACAGGTAATTATGGGAGAAAACGATAAAGAAATAGTGAATAAGGAAAAGAATGACTGTACATGTATGAACAAAGGGTGTGTGAATGGACAATGTGTGAATCAGGAGAGCAATGTGGTAAAGGGCAAAGGGTGTGTGAAAGAACCATGTGTGAAGAGCAATGTGGAAATGAGCAAGTGTGTGAATCGAGTGTGTGTGATTGATGATATAAAATTGAATGAAAATAAGGAAGTGTGTGTGATTGATGATATGAAATTGAATGAAAATAAGGAAGTGTGTGTGATTGATGACATAAAATTGAATTGTATTTCGAATTTAATATGTGTAGGGGAGTATGATAAGATACAGCTGTCTGATAAAATATTCATTCCTGAAGTAAAAAACAGTAGCATAGAATACATTGATATCCATTCTGTGGCTACAAACTGCGCGAAAGAATCCAGATATATGCTGCCCTACAATCAAATTAACCAAATTTTAAAAACATTAAGTCATAATAAAAATAAAGTTGTTCAGTTAGATTTTGGAATTTACGATATTTCTGGCATAAAATATTTATTATCAAAATTGAAAGAAAAGGAAACTATACTTAAGTATCGAAATCATTTTTCTTGGTTCAGTAAAACCATGAATTTGCCAGTAACTCTAGAAACCATTTCACAAACAAAAATAGAAAATTTTAAAATATTGGCATATAAATACAAAAATAATTACATTCACAGGCTAACATACGGTTCATTAGAAGTCTGTGACTTACAAACAATTCCATCTACAGGATGGCTATCAGATTCAGTCATATCATACTTTTTTAATTGTTTTAATAATAGTCCAACTTCCTATGCCTTTTTTTTAAATCAAATTAATAATCAAAGATATAATCATCTAGCAAGCCACATTGCACAGCATTTCAATAATAATTTTCAGAATAAAATATTAATAATAGGATTACATGTTGGAAATGTTGATGGACTGACATATTTAGGTCCAGAAATAGAAATCGAAAATAAAATTTATCAAGCAAACCATTTCTCTTTTGCTATTTATGATTTTGATATGAAAACTCTTTTTTACTGTGATACTTTAGGATATTCCCGACCATATGATTTAGATTTGAAGATAGAGCAGATTCTCAATTATTTTGATAAATGCAATATTTCATACAAATATATGCACGTGCCCAACTCTTTGGTGGATAAACATATCTGCCAAAAAGAATGTTCATCAACATTTCCATATCAAACTTGCAGTTCAATTTGTGGGGTGTCAAATATAATTTGTTCAGCCATTGCTGTTTATGACTATGACAATTTTAAAAGATTTTTTCCAAATAGTGCAAATAATGAATATACTTATCTGCGTGACATTTCCAAATGGTCCGATTTTTTAAGGTTAGTTTTAATTCACTGGATGTTATCTGATACCATTTCATTGAATATTATTAAACTAAGAAGAAATGCTTCATTTCCGCGACTTTCATTAAAGAAGTGTCATAACGTTTTAGCCAAATCTGTAACACTTGAAACAAAACAAGTTAATGTTCCAAAAACAAAAGAATCTAATGAAAAAATATTGAATCGTACCTATGATAATTTTATTTTGAATGAAAAATCTCTAATCACAGATACTGAACAGTTTAAACTATGGCTGTTTAAGGATAATGAAATTAGGAATCGTTTTCAGGATAAAGGTGATTTAAAGATATATTTTAATATGCAACAGAAAAAATTTCGTTTAGTATATAGGTCTTTGAAGGGCAAGCGCCATGACACTTCTTTCAAATGCAATGATTTGGGATTTCAGGACAAAATTTGTCAACAAAAGATAAAAACATTTTTATTAAGTACAAAAGGTGCAGCTTGGACAAATGATGGCATTCAGGAAAATAAAATTAAAAGATTATTTGAATTACCCACAAGTATTAAAAATCTACTTTCTACTGATCCATCTGTATCTTTTCTGAAAAAAAGATGTCAGTACCGTCTTGATTGTAAGTTGAAGTTTGGGACAACTAAATGTAAATTCTTTGAAGTCGCCAACACTGAAATCCAAAGTTATGATAAAATAAATGATTTTTTAATAAATGAAAATAATTGTTTAAATTGGCTAACCAATAAAGTAACAGGGAAAAATAACTTAAAATGGACTTTTATCAAATCTGTTCAAACTGGTATTGAAACGAAACGATACATGGATTTGTTAGACTTTGATTTTAGAATTGAATATAAAAATAACAAAAATAGTACTGAAAAAATTTTTGATGAAGACACACCAAAGGTGTCATTGACTATTAATCCAGCATGGGGTGAAACACATAGACCTGACGAGTGTTACCAACTTTTAGATCATTATATGGGAAGCCAACAAGTTTTATCAAAATTTTACATCCGTTGTTCTGGCAAAACCTCATTTTGCAAAGCAAGGTGCGGTAATTTGTTATCAGAAATTGACAGATCCCCTTCAATTAATCATTGTAATAAATGCAATACTAAACTGCTTTCAAAGATTTGTACGAATTGTTGCGTTGAATATAGCCATGAGTGGTATAAAAATCAAGAAACCAATGGAGACATGTGCAGTGCATGCCACAAATATTTCAAAATTAATAAAACTAACAGACCTGAACAACTTTATGATTTGGACAATAAAAATAAAGAATCAATAATGCGTCATGATTTTCATTTTGGTTGCAATTTTGCCCTAAAGTTTGTAAATTCACAACAGAATCAATCACAGTGGGATATCTTTCAGTTTTCTGAAAGTTGTCACACCAGTGAGGTACAACAGATTAATAAAAGGGGTCTGTCTTTAAGTTTCAGGGATAAAGTTGATGGAGCTAGAAGCACATATAAAACCACACCTCAGCAAATTTTGGCAGGTCATATAAGAAAGATACCCATATATACAGGAAATTTGAGTACTCCTGAAATATTTCATTTAGATCCAAGGAAAGTCATGAAAAAAATTCAAAAACGAATAGTGACATCCGATAAACACTCTATCGATCAGCATATTGGAGTTGGCAAAGAGGACGATGTCAAAATTACTTCAGATTGGCGCAGTACTGAAAAAATTTTAGAAAACAATATTGAATCTGTGTTATTTTTTCAAAGAGGCTATTCTAAACGAAATAGGGACTATCACATTGTAATTTCAAATGAATCGAATCTAAAAGCATTATTCCAATGGGGAAAGCATGTTATGGGTTTAGACGTTAATCATAACTTTATGTCTGTACGTTTCAAAACATTCATGTATACTTTTTGTGATTCCTACAACACAGGTCGTGTTGCTGCCTTTGCCATCTCCAATAATGAGACTGAGATGACCCACACCTTACACATGCAGATTCTTCTAGCAAATATGCCATGTGGAGAAAATTGTAATCACCCTAAAGAGTTACAGATTTATAATGATTATGAAGGGTGGTACTATACAAGACCATGTTCAAAACGCAGTGACATGTTTTTTCCAATATTAGGTCATGACAAAGCCAACCAAATTAGAAATTGTGCCATTTACCAAAATTTCAATTCTTCTCTGTGTAATTTTCACGCATTAAATGCATTTCAAGAGAAAATTCATTCGGACAAAATTTTATTGATGTTTATTTTACCATTAGAAACAGGGTTTAAATGTGTTATGCGTAGTTGGTGTGAATCTATGAGAAAGGGCATGGCTCTTCGATTTATTACATTTATTCGTGAGTCACTGCCCACCCTTCTGTTCAATACAGAAACTAAAAATAACTTAATAAAATACTTACAAGACCACTGGTTTCAGAGTAATATGTGGCAATCAACATTTACATCAGAAGTCCTCTTTTCGGTTCCTATAGAATATCGAAGAAATTGTTTACTCATGACAGATAATATTACAGAGAGGCTCTTTAGATCAATAGAAAATGCTGATTTGAATAATAAACTTAATAAAAAATTATCAAATTTTGTTGTCACAATCATAGGTAGTGTTCTTCATCGTGAGGCTGAATACGTAAAAGATATACCAGACACATTTAAACCCTCAATTAAAGACAGGACTAAAGAAAGTAAATTGGCCACCGTTGGGATAAACCTAGTTCCTAGGGTTGAAGCTATAGGTGCTGCAGAAGATGGCTGGTTTTTAGTAGAACCAAATAGTAAAGATGATTCAATTATACATGATGATTTTGTTTTGTTAAATAGAAAACATGGTGAACATTTCCTCATTGATCATGATTATTCTGAAACTCAACCTGTTATACATGATAATATAAGAAAACAGACAGAAGTCTTGAATGCAAAAGCAGGGGACACTCATCTTAAATGTAAAAACCTAATTAAACTATTAACTGACTTGATATGTTCACATTTTAGAACTGAGACAATAAAATTCATACCGTCCCATTTAATAAATTCAGTTAATAATAATAATAATAAATATATATGCAATATCAAATTATGTACCTGTACATGTCTCTATTTTATTATTCGTGGTCAGCCATATTTCTGCAAGCATCTTTATGCATGTCTCTCTTTCCATTATGGTGTGAACGATCTGGACAAATTATTAGAATTATATCTGAACACTGTTCCCACAATACCTTCTTATTTAGACACATTAGGAGTTGGAAAAGTTATACAGCCACGGCCTCCAGTCTTAGATCACGTTAATTTATTAGAAGACATGGTCCATCCTGTAACTATATTGGACACTGAAAAACTGAGAAAAGGAAAATTATTAAACATTTTACATAATTCAAAAATTAAATGTACAAATTATAGTGGCCCACTGGCTCAGAAACAGCCACATAACATGGGAAACCGACGCAAGGATGGACCAATTAAACCAGATCGTTATTCGTTAATTGAGCCTGAAGAAATTCAAAATGATCCATACCGTCCACAGGTAAAATTTCCTGAAAATGCACATGAGCGCCATGGTGGGAGGAAACGAATAAAATCTAGGAATAGAGGTCGGAAATTTAATAAAATTGTTGATGAAGCCTACTTACAGTTGGGAAAACATGTCACTCTTTCTACTTTAGAAGACAATTGTAACAATGACGATGTTATCGACGACTGTATTGACGAAACTAAAATTTCAATAAAAAACATCAATTCTAATAATAACGTAAAACATGATAACGGAATTCCACGTATTTTAAAAAAGAAGGAAATTCAAAAAAACGTAATGTGTGGAATTTGCTTAGATAACAACATAAAACCAGTTTTTAGATGTTCCACATTGTCCATGTTAAATCACCATATTAAATCTGTACATGAACCATTTGTTTGTTACCTTTGTTTTCAGGCCAGTGGAGCATGCGTAAGATTTGCCAGTAAAAACACTTTCGATCAGCATATACTTCTGAATCATAGTTCAGCAACGGTAGATAAAATATCTGAAGACACTGAATCTTTTGATGAAAGTATATGCTCGCCGAAACCGTTATTACCTTTGTTTGATGAAGACATTTCCAGTGAAGACATTTCCAATGAAATCCAAAACTTTTCCAAAACAATTTCAAATTCATTAGAAGACAGAAATATTGCCGAATTAAATATAGCTGCAAAA